GGGACAGGCAGAAGTGCTTTAATACTGCAGCAGTGCCCGCAAAACACGGCATCGAAGGCTCCGAGTTCTCTTCTCAGGCCACTGCAACGCCGTACGAAGCCCTCATGGCCTTTACACCCATGCGGACTAGAAACTGTAAGGTACAAAGGTCAATTGTCCGATCTACACAACCTTTCTGTCAATTTGTCTCCGACTTCAAGTTTGCGAAATCAGACATCTACATGCTTCCATTTACATTGTAAGACATCAGAGTAAGGTCATATGGTCGCATGTATAACAATTACCCATATTTACTAGTGATTCCAAATGTAGGGGCATAAAGGAGCAATGAAGACTAATAGCCATCGAATTTCAATGGCTTCCTTTGATTTCTCGTAAGGTGATCTATTAATAACTAGTGTGGCGTATCAAAAAGAAGGTTTTGGCTTCCATATTGCTGATACGTCGGGAAAGGAGCAGCGGCCATCGTCTACCTCGAATGTAGATAGAAATGATGTTCTTCAGGCATATGCACGGTGTTTGTTACTCCATGCTTCGCCACATGTCGTCGACTGATTCCTGAGTTGACTGGAGCCTTCATCAGCAACATTACTCACAAGATTCCGTCCTTTACTACGCTTGTTCCTTCTGAGCGAGTCATGGTTTGCTTTGAGAGGGGAGCCACATTTCTGACTATGACAACGCATGTTAGAGGATACCATAATCGAACTCACTCGCGGGGAGCCAAAGCAGATGTAAGTTGCTTAACGAGGGTCATTGGGAGAAACTTGAATGAAGGAGCCAGAGTACTACTGTAGTCTAATTTGCTCCGATTGGTAGTGGCTGTTTATGTATTTCCTACTTGAACATCTGAGAGTCTCTATGATAATGGCGGAACGTTCACAAGGAATAAACGGATAAATTAGTTATTGTGCATTTTGAACGCCATATTAACGTAAATTCTCCAGCATAAAAGATGTAGGACTGCCGGATTTTTGCTTAGGGGCGTGGAAAATACAAACTGTAAAGACAGGTCAGGGAACCTGGAAGGTGACCATACGCATTTTCGTTCAACTCAGCCTTCTTAGCGATGT